GTGTTGATTTCATGAGCTATACCAACTAGAAGGGCCAATTGCTCAATGCTTCCCTGCACAAGAGCCTTGGTGCTGTTAGCAACATTGTTTGCAAGAATAACAGCCTCAAGAAGTTCATCTGTACTGTTAACTTTTGTGTTGATTTCATGAGCTGTACCAACTAGAAAGGCCAATTGCTCAATGCTTCCCTGCACAAGAGTCTTGGTGCTGTTAGTAACATTGTTTGTAAGAACAGTAGCCTCAAGAAGTTTATCTGTACTGTTAACTTTTGTGTTAATTTTATGAGCTATGCCAACCAGAAGGGCCAATTGCTCAATGCTTCCCTGCACAAGAGCCTTGGTGCTGTTAGTAACATTGTTTGTAAGAACAGTAGCCTCAAGAAGTTCATCTGTACTGTTAACTTTTGTGTTAATTTCATGAGCTATACCAACTAGAAGGGCCAATTGCTCCATACTTCCCTGCACAAGAGCCTTGGTGCTGTTAGTAACATTGTATGTAAGAGCAGCAGCCTCAAGAAGTTCATCTGTACTGTTGACTTTTGTGTTGATATCATGAGCTATACCAACTAGAAGGGCCAATTGCTCAATGCCTCCCTGCACAAGAGCCTTGGTGCTGTTAGTAACATTGTTTGCAAGAACAGTAGCCTCAAGAAGTTCATTGGTGACTTTCCAATTGATTTCTTCAGTTACATCAACTAGAAGAGCCAATTGCTCCATACTCTCCTGCACAAGAGCTTTGGTGCTGTTAGTAACATCATTTGTAAGAACGACAGCTTCAAGAAGCTCATCTGTATTGTTGACTTTCCAGTTAATTTCTTCTGTTATATCAACTAGAAAGGCCAATTGCTCAATGCTTCCCTGCACAAGAGCCTTGGTGCTGTTAGTAACATTGTTTGTAAGAACAGCAGCCTCAAGAAGTTCATCTGTACTGTTGACTTTTGTGTTGATTTCGTGAGCTATACTAACCAGAATGGCCAATTGCTCAATGCTTCCCTGCACAAGAGCCTTGGTGCCCTGCACAAGAGCCTTGGTGCTGTTAGCAACATTGTTTGCAAGAATAGCAGCCTCAAGAAGTTCATCTGTACTGTTAACTTTTGTGTTAATTTCATGAGCTATGCCAACCAAAAGGGCCAATTGCTCAATGCTTCCCTGCACAAGAGCCTTGGTGCTGTTAGTAACATTGTATGTAAGAGCAGCTGCCTCAAGAAGTTCATCTGTACTGTTAACTTTTGTGTTGATTTCATGAGCTGTACCAACTAGAAAGGCCAATTGCTCAATGCTTCCCTGCACAAGAGCCTTGGTGCCCTGCACAAGAGCCTTGGTGCTGTTAGCAACATTGTTTGCAAGAACAGTAGCCTCAAGAAGTTCATCTGTACTGTTAACTTTTGTGTTAATTTTATGAGCTATGCCAACCAGAAGGGCCAATTGCTCAATGCTTCCCTGCACAAGAGCCTTGGTGCTGTTAGTAACATTGTACGTAAGAGCAGCAGCCTCAAGAAGTTCATCTGTACTGTTAACTTTTGTGTTGATTTCATGAGCTGTACCAGCTAGAAGGGCCAATTGCTCAATGCTTCCCTGCACAAGAGCCTTGGTGCTGTTAGCAACATTGTTTGCAAGAACAGCAGCCTCAAGAAGTTCATCTGTACTGTTAACTTTTGTGTTTATTTCATGAGCTATGCCAACCAGAAGGGCCAATTGCTCAATGCTTCCCTGCACAAGAGCCTTTGTGCTGTTAGTAACATCATTTGTAAGAACGACAGCTTCAAGAAGCTCATCTGTACTGTTGACTTTCCAGTTAATTTCTTCTGTTATATCAACTAGAATGGCCAATTGCTCAATGCTTCCCTGCACAAGAGCCTTGGTGCTGTTAGTAACATTGTACGTAAGAGCAGCAGCCTCAAGAAGCTCATCTGTATTGTTACCTTTTGCACTGATTTCTTCAGCTATATCAACTAGAATGGCCAATTGCTCAATACTTCCCTGTACAAGAGCCTTGGTGCTGTTAGTGACATCATTTGTCAAAATAGCTGCCTCAAGAAGTTCGTCTGTATTGTTAACTTTTGTGTTAATTTCTACTAGAAGAGCCAATTGCTCAATGCTTCTCTCCACAAGGGCAACATCAATATTACTGATCCTTTTATGAATTTCTTGAGCAAAATGAGTAATAGTTTCATTACATAATTGGCACATTTGATTGTTGTTAGTAGCAGTCAGACCAGCATTTGTTGCACCAGTAGCAGTAGCACTGCACTCAGCAGATGATTGTGATATTATAAAGCCACACATGCCCACTAAAGTGATAAGCAATAGCAACATAATAGCTAATAAGCATATCACTATACGGAGTGGCCATTTGTCTTCAATGTATTTCTTGCTGTGTGTAAGTGGTACTTGATACTGATGCTCTTGCTCTTGAGTAGTAGGTAGTACATTCATTTCGTACTCCATTTCTTGCAGCGCTTCATCAGTTGTGGTATACTGATTCTCTTCAACGTGACTCTCCATTGTTGCTTCTAGTCTAATATAACTGCAGTAATATTTTCTTCAGCTAAAGCTCTGCTTTATGTACAGCCTACCACAGATTATTAAAAGTCAGGTGACTAATAGTTAGCTTGAATATACCGTATAGCTAGAAATTTCTGTGACCCAAAATTTCTCAAAATTTTGTGAATTTGGGAACATTTGGGACATAAATTAATGGCCTATTTTATTTAAAAAGCATGGTGAATTTGTAAAAATGAAGTCTGCAAAAGCCAATTTTACGGCAATTCACAGCAATTTTGGGCCACAAAAATTTCTAGCTACACGATATGACACAAGCTCATGCACTCAGCTTGAATAAATGGCATAGATTCAAAGAAAACTGAAGCAACTGTGCTACATGTATATAAGCAGAAATATAGTCCTTCAGTAGCTTTAGATGTAACATGACTTTCAGGGTATAAACTACATGTAAAACTCATTACCTTCAGTATTGTATTATAAATTACTTTCTTCTCTATTTTCATATGGAGATGGTATACATGTACTGTACATGTATATAGATTAATTTGATGGTTTGTTGATTAATTTTGAAGAGCACGTGATTGATTATGTAGAACAATAGTTGATCAACGGCAGCAATGAAATTATAACTTACTAATTTTATAAGCACTTAATTTATTGTATGGTGTTTGTATAGTAACTAGTAAGTTTTGACATGTAATTGGCTCAGAAGTAGGGCGCTATGTTTTATGATGTAAATCAGCTCAGCTTTTTTATTTATTGTATTCTCAGTTTATCAATAGTTCTAATCTTACTCTTACATTTGATGGTACTAACAATACCACTGATAGTATAGTACACATTTATACTGTGTAGCATTTTACTAGCATTTTCAGGTAACGTAGAGGAAATCATGATATCAACTTTATATACATGCAGTATGTATTATAAGTTACATGCTTCTCTATTTCTCAATGTAGAAAATAATTACATGTATAATAGGATGCATATTCATACAAGAGTACATTTGAGTATATTTATCAGCAATTGTGTAGAATATTAGAAGTGAGCCTGATCAATTACATGTACGTAAAATGCAATTATTTGGTTGATAGCAAGTTGGCAACAAGGAAATTAGACTTACTAATTTTGTAAGCACTTACACGGAATGCACCTCTTCTGTATGTTTGCGTAGGTTAATTTTGACACGCACATGTAATTGGTTAGGCTCAGAAGTAAGGCGCTAGAACATTCTGCAGCTCTGACTACAATCACTGTTATTGCATGAGGTGTGCATTCCTTGCTATTAATGATATCTTTATAATAACTGTATTTGCAATTAAAGCACAATTTACACAATCTTGTAATAGCCCTAATGGCTGTCAACACAATACTATAGGATCACTACTAGCCCTAATGGCTTAACTGCATGCATGCTATAGGTAGCAATTCATTGAACATACAGTTCATAAAATGTTAGTTTAATGTCTTCAGTGTGTGTTCCTTGATCAACACACACCCTCATCTCAAGGTAGTCAGTAGTGGGAGCATCAAGTGTCTTGTTAAACCAGGGGAGTCTGGAATCAGAGCAACAACCAGCTTCAGCAGCATCGCATCCTTGACCATCCCAGAGTGGATCAGTAGAATAGAAAATTGGATCCCAACTATCAGTAGGGTTAGCCGATTCACAGAAATAATCATTTCCTATGAAATTTTGTGGACTGCTACCACCAGCACATGGACAATTGTCATAGTAGCTTTTATTCGAATGTACTCCAACTAGCAGCGACCATATATGGTGA